TTTTGCCCATAATATCAAAAGATAGAATGGAATTATTCTAATAATAAAAAGTGAACAGTTATTCCTCAGATGGGAATATTGATCCCTTCTCATTTTCAAATGCCAAAGGAAAAGTTAAAATACAAATATTAATTCTCCTTGAAGGACCAAAGGAATTAAATTCACAAGTATATGACTCTGCCATTGTGAGTTTAAAGACCAAAGAACTGCTCACACTTCTTCTCTTGCGTTCAAGCCAAGCTCTCGGTAACACAGTGTGGTCAGCAGATCCATACATGAAGGGAGGCTCCACAAATCAATACATCTGTGCGCCCAGCATAACAGGAGCCAGTTTTCTTGCTGCCCCAGGGAGGGGGTTATACTATGGAAAGGAGATAGGCCACAGTCAACACTGGGGTGCTGGTTTGGAATTGAAGGTATAGGTGCAACTTTAGAGTCTTTAGATGTAGATATTGTGTTAGTTAAGATTCTCCAGAGGGAGAAAGAGAGAGAGATTGAGAGATGTTAAGGAATTGGCCCAGGTGATTATAGTGGCTGACAAATGTGAAATCTGTAAGGCAGGCCAGGAAGCCGAAGACAAGGAAGGAGTTGATGCTACAACTCAAGTCTGCTGACAAGCATCCCCTGTTCCTCTGGGACGCCAGTCTTTCTCTGAAGGCCTTAAACTGATTGGGTGAGGCCCACCCATATTATGTAAGGCTATCTGCTTTACTGGGTCTATGGATTTAAATGTTTCTCTCATTCAAAAAAATACCTTCACAGCCACATCTACATTTAACCAGATCTCTGGATACTAGAAAAGCCAGGCTCGACCCCTTATCTCCCCTGTAGGCTGCCAAGTGTAAGGGAGGCTGGAACTTTGATGAGTAAGAGTAGGCTAGATTGGGATTGGGGGGGTTTTGTTTTTGTTTTTTGGCTTTGGCTTTTCTCCTATCTTTCTTTCCTTTATAAAAATTTTGTTGTTATATAAAAGTTAAAAAAAAAAAAAAGCCATAGCACTTTCATGAGAATTCTTTAAGATATAAGAAACACCAAAGACATGATTTGAAAATAAACCGGCTTTCTGCTCATCTTGTCGTGAGACCAGCTGGTTCCATAAACACTACTAAAACATCAGAAACGTCTCTGGAGAGGAAGAGAATGAAACCAGTGTGTTTGGGCCTTACATTGACTTTATGAAATGTCAGAAGTGACACTTTTTGTTGTTCTGAAGAGCTCTGACCCTCTCTGTCCCAAAGTCCAGCGAGGTTGGGCCCATCCGAAAGGTAGGCTGGCTGAGCTGTGCCGTAGCTCCTGGGGGGATTTTAAGTGAGCTCCCAGGGGTGGTTTGGACCATGTTTTAAAGGAGATGACTTGGCCAGCATGTCAGAAGCATTTTGAGCTGTTTTTTAAGGGTAAAATAAAGCCATCACATTCAGAACATAAAAATTAGCAAGCAAATAAATAAATAAAAAACAAGTGATCCTAGAATAACAGCACAAGATATAGAAAGAACACAGTGGTGGAAGGCAGGTGGGCGGGAGAGGGGTACTAATGTTTCCCAGAGCAGGTGACATCCGCGTTGAAATGACAAACACTAACAACATTGATAATTGCTAAAATATAATACTTACTGGGAACTGAGTATATTGTAGACACTATTCAAAATTGTTTACATGCATTATCCTGTTTAATTCTCAATCATTCAGGTACTATTATTATTTGTCTCATTTTACAGATGATAAAACTGAGATTCAGGGGGTCCGAGAAACTTCTTCAGGATCACAAAGCTACGAGGTGACTGCAGAGCTGGTCTGCAGCCCAGACTAACCTACTCTAGTGCTACTCTGTTTGATTGACAAGTAGTAGCTTGTTAGGTGGGCTAGGACCTCCAAGTGAGAGGGCATAGAGACCTGTGGCAACATGGTATGTCTGAGAAACTGTATGCTGAGTGTCTGCACTGATACAATGCCCAGTTTGGACGGGAGAGAAGACTAACATGAGCTAGTGGCCAGGTTAGGCAGCAGATTGTGAAGGTGATGTCTTGGGCACCATGCTAAGGGAGTTTGATTTTGGCCTGGGAGAGATGGGGAGAGTTGCATTTTAGAAAGATCATTTGGGGCCACAGTGTGGAGATTGGTTGGAGAGCACAAAAGGAGCCCCTGGGAGGCAAGCTAACGGGCTGTTACAATAGCCCAGGGGAACAAGGCAAGGACAACGATGGCAGTGGAACAGGGAAGGAGAGAGTGGGCTAAAGAGATTTAGGAGTGGACTGAATAGATTTGGTGAGTTGGTGAGGGTGTAGTGGGACTTAAAATGACAGAAAAATGGTTTCAGGTGTGTGCTGTTTTAATGGGGGGGGGGGGCAGAATAGATGACAGTGAACTCTGTTGAATTTGAGATGCCTGGTAGCACCCAGAGCACTAGTGGCCTCTGCAGAGTGTTTGATTTGTAGTCATAGGTATGAATATATGGGAAGAATAGGTCTACACAATCAATGCTGTTCTTTATTAATCCTCACCTGAGGATATTTTTCCATTGATTTTTAGATAGAATGGAAGGGAGAGGGGGGGGGAGAGAGAGAGAGAGAGAGAGAGAGAGAGAGAGAGAAACATTAATGTGAGAGAGACACATTGATTTGTTGCCTCTGGTACAACCCCAACCAGGGCCAGGGTTCAAACCTGTAACCTAGGTATGTGCCCTTGACTGGGAATCAAGCCCTCAACCTTTCAGGACAAGGGACATGCTCCAACCTACTGAGCCACACTGGCCAGGGCAATATAGAGCAATTTTACTTTGCAAGTCTAACTTTTTGAAATATAATATTAAGAATATTAGCAGATATGATCAGATTTCACTCTCTTTCTTGTATGTGCATATGCCCAGATGTATTAGTAATGAACCTATGATAAAAATAAAATTACTTTTTTTCTGTCATTCCCCTAAGAGTACAAAATAGACAGTATGGATTTGTATGTCAGCATTGAAAATGAGATTTTTATATGCTGGAAGTAAGGAATGGCATTTAATTTCTAATCATTTCTTACATGTCTTGGTTTTATGATACAGTTTTTCAGAGTAATGATGCCAAATAGGGAAGTGCCTAAATGCTTGTAAAAGGCTATCAGGAAATGGTACTTATACTCTAACCAATGAACCTATTAGAACTAATTAATAAAACGGGTTAAGATCTAGATCAAGGGGACATAATTAGAATCGAGTATTTTCAGAACATAAAACAAAAATAGTGAGTATCATGTAAAAATTCACCTTAAATGGTGATCAAAAGATGCTGGTTAAAACAAAAACAAAATACTATATTTATATATTGTCACAGGAAAGACTTAAAAAAATAACGATATAGGATGGTTCAGGGAGTATAGTAAGACAAATACCCTCATCCTCAAGGTAGAATACAAATTAGTCTTTTAAAAAAGAAAAATAACTTTGTAAAATGAATCAAGGCTATTAAAACATGTATGTGCATTGGCTGGGAGTTCTGCTTCTAGGAATCTATATGCCAAGAGAAAATCAGAATTGTGGACAAAGATTTATGTATAAAGGTTAAGTATAATGGAAAACTTAAAAAATATATAATCATTATATAAATGATGGCATTCTATAGAGAAGATAGTTATACAACCATCAAGAATTAAATTTATGGAAAATGTTAATGACAAGATACAAGTTCAAGTGAACTAAAATAGGGACAATGCCATTATATGGTATCAACTAATAGGATAAGAATTCATTTCAAACTAATTTGAGTGGATTTTTAAAGAGTTAATTTCTATTATATTTGAGTAATCAAAAAACAGATTATTAGATTTTTTTTTTTTAATCCTTACCCGAGGACATTTTTCCATTTTTTTGTTTGGATAGAGTGGGAGGGACAGAGAGGAAGAGAGAGAGAAAGGAAACATCGACGTGAAAGGGACACATCGAGCGACCGCCACCCACACGACCAAGCAGGACCAGGGACAAACCGCAAGCAAGGCACACGCCCTTAGCTGGAACCGAACCTGGGTCTCTCTGGACCACAGGCCGACGCTCTAACCGCTGAGCAAACTGGCCAGGGCAGATTTTTAAGTAAAGCACAGACACAGCCATCTTTTTTTCATGCAGAGAGAAGAGATATGAAATTTAGAATTATATAATTCTAGAATGATTGTGCACACGGATCCAGAAGACTATTTTCTTATGCCTAGTGGTTCTTTTTTTTTTTTTTTTTGGTATGTGCCCCTCCCCTAAGGGGAACCGAACCCTGGACTCTCTGGTCCACAGGCCAATGCTCCAACTGCTGAGCCAAACTGGCCAGGGCGGTTCTTCTTTTTTTCTTAATCTTTAAAAGTTTTATTTATAATTTTATTGATTCTCAGAGAGAAAGAGGAAAGGGGGGCAGGAAGAGAGAGATGGGATGCCTAATGGTTCTTTATCCACGGCTTTGTGTAATAAAACCCTCTGTTTTAATGCATGTTGCTCTACTCTGGTCTCAGTTTCCTGTTTCCAAATGAAGCATAGTTTCTCTAGATTAAAGGTCAGGGAACCTTTTCTATGGAAAAGAAAGAAACAAAGAAAGGAAGAAAAAAAGAAAAACAACATTTCTTTCTTCTTTCTACATTTCCATTCCAAAGCACTGAGGAAATTAGTTTAGTTCTTTTTTTTTTTTTTTTTTACATATTCAAATATTTGCCATCCTCCTTTAGAGGAAGATTGAAGTAGGACATTCACAATCATCATGTGAGTTTACTATTGAGGGGTATTATTATTATTTGCAGGGCTGATGCAGTCAGAGTAAGAGATCATATTGTTTTGTGTTTTATAGGATAATACTCTGCTATAGTCCATGATACTACAGCATATTGTTCAATATACATATTTACTAAAAATCATGTGCAAGTTACAAAAATAAAATAACTTACAAGACAGTAGCTTAAATAAAACAAGAAATGGTTTCTGGTGGTGCTAGCTGAGTGTCTGATGGTTAATGCTGCTTCTCTGCCCCTCTCCCCAACGCCCAGCAATTCTTTGAAATGGAGGAAGAGCCAACTTCTGTGTATGACACAACTATCAAAATAAATATTTTGTTAAAAAGACTGAAGGACAGGGAAGAAACTATTAAAGAATTAAGAGAAGAAATAGAACAATATGAAGAATATGGATTTCAAAAATTTGTAAGTTTCAAAGCAAAGAACAATTCATTTTAATGTGTGTAAATAAAGTTATAACTATCTAAACCTTGTTCATTATATTTTACATATAAGTGAGGTCATATAGTACTTGTCTTTCTCTGACTGGCTTATTTCACTTAAGCATAATACTCTCCAGGTTCATCCATGCTGTCACAAAATGTAAGATTTCCCTTTTTTCCCCCAGCCTGTGTGGCTCAGTGAATTGAGCATTGTCCCATGGACTGAAAAGGTCCCTGTTCAATTTCCAGTCAGGGCACATGCCCAGGTTTTGGGCTGGATCCCCAGTAGGGGGTGTACAGGAGGCAGCCAATTGATGTTTCTTTCACATGGATGTTTCTATCTCTCTCTCCCTTCCTCTCTTTCTAAAAAATCAATCAAATCATATTTTTCAAATTATTTTTAAAAAGAGATTTTTTTTTTTCACTGTAGCTTAGTATTTCATTGTGTAATGTAAATGTACCACAGCTTTTTTATCCACTCATCTACTGATGGGCACTTGGGCTGTTTCCAGATCTTGGCTTATATAAATAATGCTGCAATAAACATAGGGGTGCATATATTCTTTTGAAATTGTATTTCAGGGTACTTTGGATAAATTTCCCAAACTGGGATCACTGTTAAGTCCGTTCCGTTTTTAAATTTTTTAGGAAACTCCATACCGTTTTCCACAGTGGCTGCACCAGTCTGCATTCCCATCAACACTGTACTAGGGTTCCCTTTTCTCCACATCCTCACCAACACTTGTTGTTTGTTGATTTTTTAATAATAGCCATTCTGACAGATGTGAGGTGATATTTCATTGTGGTTTTATTTTATTTTTTTAAGTTTTATTATTTATTTATCTTGTTAATCCTCACCCAAGGATATTTTTCCATTGATTTTTAGATAGAGTGGAAGGGATGGAGGGAGAGAGAGAAAAAGAAACATCAATGTGTCTCACATTGATTGGTTGCCTCCTGCATGACCCTGACTAAGGCAGGGATCAAACCTGCAACCCAGGTAAGTGCCCTTGACCGGGAATGGAACTGGAGCCACTTCAGTCTGCAGGCCAATGCTCTAACCACTGAGAAAAACTGTCCAGGGCTCATTGTGGTTTTAATTTGCGTTTCTCTGATGATTAATGACTTTGAGCATTTATTCATATGTCTATTGGTCGTCTGTGTATCCTCTTTAAAGAAGTGTCTATTCAGTTCATTTGCTTATTTTTTTCTTTTATTTCCCTTGCCTGAGGATGTTCATTTGAGATTTTACTGTCTATGTTTTGTTGTAGTATTTTTGTGGCTTTGCAACTTACATTTAAGTCTTTAACCCATTTTGAGTTTATTCTTGTGTATGGTGTTAGTTGTTATTCTAAGTTTCATTTTTTTTTTTTTTGCATCTATCTGTTCAATTTTTCCAATACCATTTATTGAAGAGACTGAGACTTCACCAAAAAATTACTAGATCTAATAAATGAATTTAGCAAAGTAGTAGGATACAAAATTAATATTCAGAAATTGGTGGCATTTTTTTTTTTATGAAGGGAGAGGGAGAGAGAAACATTAACGTGGAAGAGAAACATCAGTTGGCTGCTTTCCACATGCATACCTACTGGGAAACAAACTCACAACCTGGGTATGTGCCCTAACTGGGAATCAAACTGGCAACCTTTTGGTGCATGGGACAATGCTCAAGCAATTGAGCCACACCGGCCAGGGCAATTGGTGGCATTTTTTTCACCAATAATGAACTATTATAGAGAGAAATTAAGAAAACAACCCCATTTACTATTACAACAGAAAAAAAAAAAGGTATTTAGGAATTAATTTAATCAAAGAGATTAAAAACCTGGACTCAGAAAATTATAAGATACTGAAGAAAGAAATTGAAAAAGATAGAAATAAGTGGAAGCATATACCATGTTCAAGGAAAGGAAATATTAACATTAAAATGTGCATACTATTCAAAGCAATCTACAGATTCAACACAATGCCTATTAAAATACCAATGGCATATCTCACAGAACTAGAAGAAATAATTCAAAAGTTTATGTGGAACCACAGAAGACCTGAATAGCCTCAGCATGCTTGAGAAAGAAAACAAAGTTGGAGGGATCGCACTACCTGATAATCAAGCTATACTACCAGACCATAGAATCAAAACAGCCTGATATTGGCACAAGAACAGGCATATAGATGAATGAAATAGAATAGAGACCACAGAAATAAACCCACATCTTTATGGTCAATTAATATTTGACAAAGGAGGCAAGAATATGCAAGGGGAAAAGTGGTACCTCTTCTTATCTCACAGCTCAATTTACCAATGAAGAAGCAGAGACAGGGTGGTTGAGTGACTTCTCCCTAGGCACACAGCTAGTCAGTGGTAAAGGTGGCATATGAATCTGAGGTCCAGCTGAGTCTACAACCCACAGAAGGAATCAGAGCTCTATGCTCTACAGTAAGAATCAGAGGTTATTTTATATATACAGATATGCAAATATATGTGTATATATGATTATATTATTATAATGCCTATTTATATTATAATGTAAATATTGGCACATGCATAAAATATGAGAAGTTATAAATCAAATTGTTAAAACTAGGAAGAAACACTTGTGGGTTGCTCGTCCCTGTATGTGCAATTTATGGTTATTCTAAATCCCACACTTAAAACTTGGAAGTTAGAAGAGACAAGGAATTGAGTGTGCACCATTCTGAAGAACTTTATTTACTAACTGGTGAAGGAGTGTTTGCTTTGTTTAATATATGGGAATTATTTATGTTCTAAAAGCAAAAAAATGGATCATCTTCTAAGCGATGTAGCATTAAATTATTAACCTAAATGTAATAAAATTGAATATTATCTTCTCATGTGTTCTGATTGCCTTGGAGGAGAAGGCACATCCAGTTTTTTCATTTACTTTTTGAACCGTTTCCTGGGTCTATATTACTTTTATTTTGGGGGTAAAATTATTTTATTTAAAAGGCTAAAAAACTGTTCTAGCTTTGGCCTTTAATTGTGCCTTGGCCAAAGAAATGCAGCATAAATTGTTAAGGCCATTTTGATCCACTTATTTTCCATTTGTGAACTGGAAAGTGAGAGCCGCCTGGCTCAGGATTATGAGAAGGATACCTGTTGTACTGGATGTGACTGCTCTGAGTTCTTTGAACAAAGATAAGCACATAAATTCTAGTTATTATTATGAGGAAACACATACATTTTTATGACCTTCTGGTTTACATCCCATGAAATGCACTGAACAGGCCTCCGGACCGTTGATAACGTCCCAAGTCGGTAATTGAGCTCGTTACACTGAAACATGAGGTGTTACTTGGAGTGTTTACGTCTCTAAGTACTCTCAAGAGGTTACCTGGTCTGTCTGGCTGTCCTGGGTAAGGATGGCAGTGGCTTGGTGAGGAAGACAGGAAATGGGAGTTTCCTCCTTGCTCACCTCGGGTTGGCATCCCAGAGACCCCGGTTGTTCCACTGTAATTGTTCCCTAAGGAGACCACATCAGTTTTTCTATAAACACCCTAAGATTTGAAGAAGATGACAGGAATCTGATGAACTGGGGCTATGCGTTGCTCTTAGCTTCTCAGGACCCGGACCAAGCACATGGCCCTGCTCTGCTGCCTGGGTTGAGGGCAGCGCCCAGCACCGGCCCAGCGTGCATTTCAAGAGTGAGGAATAAATGCCATGAAAGCAAATCATGCATCACAGAAAACAAATCCCTGGGAAAATAATTTCTTTCATCCTCTAAAAAGAAGCTAAAACCTAAAACTCCATGCTACTTACAGTCTAGATGAGATAGTCTTTTTATTGGAAATTTCATCCTAAGCACCTGCTCCCTCTAGTGGTATAAAAAAGTGTGAGATGCCAAGTATTTGAGAATAGAATTGGAAAACAGAATTTAAAGAAACAATTAGAAAGTTCCAAAGTAGCCATTGAAATGTTTGAAATAAATAAATTGAACGAACAATAGGGTAACACTCTAGTTAATTCTTACTGATAGTCAAATCACATAAATAGCTTTACAGCTAATAAGTAGTCTTAATATCTCTCCAGCAGTGTTTTTTGCGAGAAATCTGAAAAGAATGTGATAGAAAAGTGAAAGTTTAATAAATAGCTGGTTTAAATTACATTTATAACAAAATGGAATCCAGAAAAGGGAGCTCTTCAAGTTACATAGAGAAGGCTCGTCTCTCCAGGTCACACATCCTTAATGTTGAATTTCCCTGAAAGCAACTTCATTCAAAGACTGAGCTGCTCTTCAGGTTTAGTACTGTAGGAAATCACTGGGGCCTAACTGCATGCCACTGTAGCCATCAGGTTGCTGTGTTGTGTGCTGATAAATCCCCCTGAGAACTGCTACAGCAAGCTAGCTTGTCAGAGTATGTGCGCATGTGCAAGGGCACGTGTGCACACGCATGTGTGTTTTAACTGTGGTTAGAGCTGTTCTTTTCAAAAGACTTTTGCTTTTCCTTTCTTACCCCAACATGCATGAGCTGTGCAACCATCACTCACATACCCCTTTCACAGGTGAACATAACTGCTGGTCGCAGGCAGTTCTGAAACAGAGCTGCCATTCAAGAGCGGCAGCTCTGCAGGGCTTCACTGCCCCAGCATGCCACTTTCCTGGTTGTCACTCACTGGGAAAGCACCTGCTTTGCTCTGTGACTGCCATGCAGCCAGGGCATGCACCCGAACCCTACTCCGCCCCCAGCATCAAATTGAGATGTTCAAGTAGTGTACATGGAGCCTGCAGAATTGAGACACCAATATGGCAGAAGGGAGCCTGCTGGGAAGGCACACGCAGAGCTCTGAACAGTACTTCTCACACTCGATTGTGCGTGTGGGTCACCTGCAGCTGAGCTGGGGCCTGAGATTCTGCATTTCCAATAAGCTCCCAGGTCACACTTCTGCTCCTGGTCTGTGGACCACACTTCGAGTAGCAAGGCTCTAGAGTGTACCAGTTTTCAGAAATAATTATTTCAAGAACATTTTGAAATTCAAAGACCTGGGAACAGTGAATCTGCATATCTTGCGACTGTTTACACGCGAAATAGCACATAAGCCACCACCTGAAGTCCTAGTTTGCACATGATAGAAAAACTTTAAATTGGCACATTTCTTTATAAACTTAAAGTTACAGGATGGTCATGAATCACACATAATTTTTCATTAACTATAATGTGGCTTTAAATTAGCAACATCTAGTTAACCATCATTTAATGATCTTCCTAACCTCACTTTATTAATGCAGTATATTTTAAAGAAGTCTCATGATTTAAGTAAGTCAGAACTAGTGATGTGGGCAGATGGTAGAAGGAACACCATTACAAAACCTGCCACTCAGAGTGTAACAGATGACCGTAGCAGCCCAGAACTATCCCTTTGTTCATTTTGCTAATGAGTGTCCTCATTGCTGTGGGAGCCTGAATAGTTAATTACTTGCAGTTCCTACAGCTGACAGATGGTGGGGACAGAGCTAAAGGTTAACCTCACAAGAACCAGCGCTGTAGATGGCTCTGTGGAGAAAAAAATCTTTGAGTTAAATGTATTATCCTTGTTTCCTGCTTTTATATGAGGTTTTTAGAAAACAAATTTAGGTATTAGCTGCTGCCAGTTACTAATTTCACACTTCACCTGATTAATTCAAACAGTTCTTGTTTAGTTTATAGTAACAGTGCTGATGTAATCCACTGTGGATATTCATATTCTGCCACTGTTAGAAAGTGGAATCCTAGGTCTATTCAGGCAAATATTGTTTGTTGCTTGGTTATTTAAAAGCCTTTGTAGTCTATAAATATATTTTGTAATAATTTCAAATTTAACCATGTGGGACAAGAAATTAATAACTGGATTCCTCCTCTAGTAAGAAAACAGTGTTGTTTATTGACTATTAGATATGTTAATTAAGAATGAATGTTGCTCAAAGAATTTAAATGAAATGGTGAATCAAATTTGTGAAGATTTGTAATTGGGCTTAGTGCAAAATTTGACAACATTATTTTAAATATTAACTCTGGCATAACTACATTACTAAGTCACTTGATTTTTAAGGAATTATTAATGTTATACAAAATATTCTAGCCACTTATTTATTTCTTGTAGGCCATTGTGATCACAGAGAAAAATATTTTAATAATTTACTTCCAGGTATCTCTAAAGTTAAATAAAAGATACAATTCCAGAAGGAAAGCAGCATGTTGGGAGGCATGATTTGGTTTTTGAGGGGAAACTTCGTTCTCGTGTATTTGCAGCCATGACATTGCTATACTAAGAATAAGTTATACTTCATCTAAAGATTACTTTAAAGTTCAAAAGTATGTCTAGTGTCTATCAGTTTTGAAGTGAGGCATATGGAACCCTCTATCTCTTTTAGTCTAATATAATGACTTTTAGGCATACTGTTTAATATTTTGAGATGGCATAATCAGCTTGATAGTTTACCATCATGAAGCATAAAGTTCTGCACCCGCTTCCCCAGTGCATTACATCTTCATTTTTCAAATAATGTGTGGCAGTAAAATGTAGACAGCCATAAGCAAGTATATTCAGATGTTTTCAATAGCTTTGAAGCAGACAAGAAGAAGAAGAAGAAAAGAAGAGTAGCTGTCCCAATAAGCTTCCATTGCGTAAGAAAAAGCCTCTCCCATAATGGACATGGCAAGATTTAAACAAAAGACTCACATAATAAAAATGTAAATGAGTTTGCTTTACTAAAACTATAACTTTAAAGTCTTTTGTTGTAAGTTATCCTGAAACCTTCTTACAAGGTAATCGCTGTTTGCATAAAGATTTAAACTGAGGTCTTCAATAGCATTAAACGCCTGCACGGCCCAGTGTGACAGGCATGCAAAGCCATGTTAATGTTCAGAATATGAATTGCCTCTGGGTGGCTCCTCCACCAAGCAGAAAACCAACTGTGTAGATATCCGTGTGCCTGATGGACTCCATGCGGCTCCCAGCCTGAAAACGTCACCACTTTGACATGTGATGTGCTCCTCATGACACTGGCAGCGCTGACACTGGGAAATGCCACAAAGGCAACAAGCCCCCCTCCTTAACGGTGCACTTTGCTACCCCCTGCCGATGCCCGTCCATGGTCTCCCCAGCCTGCCTAGTTACAGGAGGACAGCACTTCAGACACACACAGGGGGAAATGTGGGTGGAGGGGCCCCAGCTGCCTCCCCGGACATAGCCTCCATAATGAATTGACCTGAATGATGAGGGCACACAAACAGTATGATATGCATTATTCCTGTCAATAAAATGTCCCCATGTGCTGTGGTCTTTGTACAGAATGTACTGCCGCCTTTCTTCCAGCAAGCTCTATTTAATCCCCTTCCTTTTTGCTATTCATATTATAAGTGTGTAATAGAATTCAGAAAATTATATGATAGCTCTTCTGTATCTGTCTTGTCTTGTGCTGCATATTTAAATCCTTGGCTCCCTGCTTAGGAATATGGAATGCCCCATCTTTCAGGACTCTCTGGCCACCATAGAGAACGGCCTTGCAAAAACAACTCCAGAAAAGGAAACTTTGGAGTACAAGTTGGAAAATGAGAGACTACTTCAAGTCGTTTCAGAACTCGAAGAAGAAATCCAACTCAATCTAAAAGAAAATACAGCATTAGGTAACATTTCAAAATCATTTTTGAGGAAAATCTATACATTAGGCACTTCATAAAATTTGTAGCTCTATTTGTCTTTTCCAAACATATATTTGTCTGGTAATTTACGTTTCAAAGATCAATTTGATAGCCATCTCTGGTTTTCATTTCAAATGGCATTCCTTGCTTGAGACAGAGAATATATATATAAATATTATAATTATACTCCTGAGCCTTGTCATTTTAACTCAGAACTTTTTAATTTTTTTTCAAGCCAAGCACTGAGCTTTGAAAAAAATGTGCTAATCAATGCTCTATTTTACTTAGAAATGTCATAAACAGATAGAAACTTTTGCCAATTTCGGTTTCTTATGCTTAATTAGTCATGTAAAATGTGTAACATTTAAATACTCAGAAATATATATTGGGAGAATGCTTTGTGGAGAAACAGTTAGCCCTTCAGGAAAATAGGCTCCGACTTACTGCTTAACTGTCTTCCATTTTTGGTACAGATTTTAAGTATACATTTTCATTTGTATACTTGTACCCCCCTTTTTTACATACCATAAACACTGGTAAAAGTTTCATTTTAATCTCCAAAGTTAGATTGCTTGAAGTATTTTTTCACTTCTGTTATCTTTGTAATTACATAATGTTGCCCTTAATGAGTAAGCAATTAAAAATTCATAAAATATTGATAAAATCATTTCTATTACAATATCGTTTGAATATACAATTATACTGTGAACCCCAGTGTAGTTTTGCTTCTCTTCTGATATGGTATAATAGTGTTTTTTTAGGTTTTGGTGGTTCTGACCGAGTCAAAAAGTACCACCTGCTGAAGCACTTTGTATAGGCTATGACGAACAGCAACAGTGTCCACTGCGAGTATTGATGAAAAGCTTTCAGCCCTCGGCCACACTTGGATCTTGAACTTAGTCTTAATCTCTCTCTGACCGGCCGTCCGAACAGCAGGAAGAAGGCTGTAAATGTCAAGGGCAGTTGTGAAGGTCACAGTCCTGCTAGGCGTGCCAGTGGTATACAGCCTGCCCGGGAGCAGGCCGTTTGAATACAGGGCATAAGCTTGTAATTTCATGGTTGGTCTCTCTCTCTCCTTTTGTTTACAGAAGATGAAATTACAAACCTGAAAGAGGTGGTAGAAAAGAATCATAAAACCATGCAAAAGGTACTGTAACTTTTTTACATTGATGAATGACTCTGAAATTAAAATATCACCCCAACTGGTGAAATAATGCGTGTCCCACTTGTCCTGTGATGTCAAGCCGATGTCTATATTTCTCATTATTTGGATAGGGTCTCTAGTTATGAATAAGGGTTTTGTCTTGATGCAGAATTAATGTAGAGATACTTCTTTTATTTGGGCTGAGTGTCCATCTTGTTGATTGCAAGGAATTGAAAACTTCCTGACACAGGGAGGACAGAGATGTGCGTGTGGAAACATTGTATTGTTCAGAGCAGCCGTCATGATCTCAGGTCAGATGTTGGTTTGTGTTCATTTTTCTGTCTATGAATGAACTGGGCTTACGTTATCCAGAAAATTTGCATTTAGGACAGGGAATTATTTTGGTTTCATGAAGATCAAGATTTCCTAGTGCATTCAGTGCAGCACGATCCAGGTCAGATGCTCCTGCTTTGTGCTTTCTTAGCCCAAAGTATCACCCCCATTGCAGCCCTCGAAACCCTTTCCTGTGAGGGTCACGTCTCCCCTGCCGCACTGGAGGCTCCATGGGCAGAGACCACACAGTCTCCGCCTCCAGCACAGTCCCCGTGAGGAGCGCCGGCCATGGCACACTTACCAATGCTCTTGGAGCCATAGAATGAGAATGTGTTTAGAGTTCATAACATTCACAGAACTTACAGATGAAAAAGTGGGTTTATCTCCCTGAATTATTCCGAATAAACACACATGCGTTCGACGAACTGAATGGAGTATCAGTTTCTAAATAAAAATAAATAAAAATTAGATAAAATTAAAAAGTCAGTCCTTCGGTCACACCAGCCATATTTCCAGGTCTCAGTCACTACATGGGCCTCAGGTTAGGTACAGATTTTAACCTGATTTTGCAGTTTAGGGAATTCTTATGTTTCAGGCAAAATTACTTCTAAGAACTGTATCTTAAAGACATAGTTACCCTGATGGTTCTGATTTGGGAGATGTTCTATGAGAACTGAATCTATCATAGATGTTAAGAGAGTGATTTCCGGTCCTCGTGCCTCACGCTGTTTGCAGCGGTCATGGCAAATCCTGTTCTTACAAGACAGCAGAGTCTGTGCACAGACCAGTCTAATCTTGGTGTCAAACTCGTAGGTTAGAAATAAAAACTCAGCTTGTCAGTTTCACTTAAGAATCTACAAGGAAATCATCACAGTTCATTTAAATTTTCCAAAGATATTCAGTCTCTCTGTCACTGGTAGAGATGAGTTGTGTAAGCTTACTCTTCCTTGTGAGGAATATAAGAAATTAAAGCAAAAAATCTCATCATTGGGAGCATTTGATATCTTGCTTCCCTACATGGTCCTCAGTTTTGCTCAAATAAATGCTTATAAAAATTCTCAAAAGAAAAATTAAAAATAACTCAATGAATAAATAAATAAATCTTACCATTAAACCTCCCCTTAGAAAGAAACAAACCGTGGGAGAGGCTGGCTATTCCTGTGTGAGCTTAAATATTTCAAATAATTACTGCCTCAGCTATCTAAGTCTGCAATGCCCAGTGGTAGCCACTAGCCACGTGTGGCCACTGAACACTTTAATTGTGTCTAGTGGAACTGAGGAACTGAATTTTTAATTCTATTTAATTTTAAGTTTTTAAAACTTAAATTTAAAAACTGATACTTGTTTTAGTTATTGGAAGTCTTTAGGTGTCTTTTGAATAACTTGGGTATGTGAATCTACTTTTCCATCTGTAAATTTCATGAATTTCAGGAATTTACAGTGTGGGTAGAATGAGAAACGTATGTGAACATGTTTGGTCATTTAGAAAGCACATCGGGAGTTGTTGAGCAAATGAGCACTGATGTTTACTGGTGTATTTCCAATATTCTCCACTGAATCAATTCATTTATCAGTGTTTACCAAGTGCCTTTATTGTCATGTGCTACTGCAGAGATACTATATACATATTTCACACACACACACACACACACACACACACACACAGCCTCCTGTGGAGGAAATCAAGTCTAGAGGGAGAGACTAGTTTTATAGGGTAATGTGATAAGGACTATACTAGAAGTCTGTACATAGAGAAGTGATGCCTGGCTATACCTGGAAGGTTCTGTGAAGGGTTCTCAAACAGTTCCTCACCTATCTCACTGTCTTTTATTTGAGCTGATTTTTCCAAATAGGTAAGAGGGTAGAAGAGCTGGGTATAGAGTGTGAGTATATAATGCGTGGACCTGTTTGTGATCTGGTATAACTAGAGAATGAGGAAGGAATCTGGTGAGACCATGTGATAAGAGTTTGTACGGGGGCAGGAAGAGGAGAAATCTGGGGAATGGAGAATGGGGAAGCAGGAAATGGGAGAATGGAAAGGGCAACCCAGAAGCCTCTGGATAAGTCAAATGTTCCCTTTTTAGCCAAGGATGTAGTTAAAAGCAAGTTGAAATGGGACTGAACTTGGGTAAGTTGACCTCTTGCCATCAGTCTGGGCTAAGAACCATCAATGATGGGATTCAATAGCTTTTTTGTTTTAGTTCCAATAATCTAATAACAGCTGAATCTGTATTCCAGCTGTGGCCACATTGAGAATTTTTTCTGGGAGGGAGACAGACCAACAGTCAGGGGTGACCGAGATTACAGCCCAGGATGTGATCAGCTTTAGGACACAGGCAGCATAGAGCCACAGTGAGCTGGCCCAGCCCGGTGTAAGGGGTCAGGGAAGATCGAAGGAAGGACACTGAGCTAACTCCTAAAAGAGAGGTTAGAGTTCCAGGAAAGAATGAAGGGAGGTGTGCAGGGTGTGACATATGCAAAAGGAAAATGTGTGTGATTTGCCGGAGCTAAGGGGTTCCTGAGATTAAGGGGTGTTGAGCTGCAGCCTACATGGCAGAGGGTTATTATTCAGTCCAAGAGGTCTGAGTGACCTCCTGAGTGTATTGGGTGCTCTGAACATGGGGGCAGGATCTGATTCGTGTTTCCTAAAGAAAACAAATGGGAAGGAGGAAAATCTGGAGCCAGAGAGATGGGTTAAGAAGTTATTTGGATAAACCATGGAAACTATAAAGTCCTGAAACAGAACGAGGATCGTGACATTGAGGATGATGGGAAGGGATGCACTCGAAAGAAGACTAGGCAGCAATGGCTCTGGTCATTGATAAGGTTGGAGGTGGAGAGGTAGAGGAGAGGAAGTAGTTATGGCTTGATAGCATCAGGGGAAGATGGGAACAGGATGGTAGAGTGGGAGGAAGCAGGAGAGGGCATTTCAGAAGCCATCAAGAAAGTCTCAAAAAGAAAGGAAGCACTCACAGTGTGTCAAATGTTTCATAGAGGCCAGGTGTGCTAAAGGCTAAAAGGAAAGAATAGACAATTTAGCTTTGGTAACAAAATGACCCTGGTCAGATCAAAAAAGCCATTGTACTGGGACGGTGGAAGCCGTTGGGAAGTGGGGTGCATGCAGAGGTGGAGACAGTGAGCGGGACACTCTCTTGGACTTTGGCTTTGGATGGCCAGGGAGAGGTAGGAAGCCCTTAGAGGGCAACATGGGGTTGACAGAGTATTTTTAAATGATGTCAACGGAAAGGAGAATGAGGGTAAAGAACAACAGAGAGATCATTGAGGAGGAGAGACCCGAGGAGACAGGCAGGATTGGGGCTAATGGCCTTGGTGTTTGCTAGTAATTGAAACTCGATGGCACTTGTTTTCAGGCCAAGGTAGGACGAATCAACAGAATCTTTCCTTTCCTTCCACCCCTCTCATTACTGTATTTTCTCTAAATCTGCAGTCAAACTCCCACCCCTTCAACTACGCTCCTCACCTCTTCTGGGGCTCTCCTCTAGCCAGTCCCCAGTTCTCCAAAGCCCTGCTCGGGGACTGCCCTGTGCTACCAGAGACAACCCAATCCTTGCCTTTGGTGACATTGCAAACATAGGTTTTAGCCGAGTGTAGCTGCACCCTCCCTCTGCCTACAATTTCACGTGAATCTCACAAGTACCCTTTCTTACTACCTACTACAGCTCTTCCAATCTTCACTTTTTTCCTCAACTCCAATACTCCATTGCCCTCCACTGCTCCCTAATTCACAGAGAACATGATGGGCACCTGGATTGTTTTTCTCCTTGGCTCTCTCTTACTCTGTCGCTTAGCTTACCTTTACTCCTTGTCATCAGAAGAAGGGACATTCCTCTTTGCCCTGACTCCTCCTTCCACCTGTTTGCCTGGCTCCATTTCTTCCTTATTCTCTTCTGGGCCTTCCTTCATCAGCCTTTTTCTCTCTTACGCCTTTCAAAGCCATTGCCGTTCACTGTTCTTCAAATATCATTTAAAAGAATGACCAGGCTGGTCTTCACTCCCTTGCTGCTAGTTTTCCTGTTGATCAGGTTACAAATTGTCCTAAATCCTTTCTGATCCTTTTGCTTCTTGAATTTTTTGTTGTATGTGACAGAACTACACCCCACGTCATGGGTGCCTTTGACAGCAAAGCTTACCTCTGATCTGTCACACCCTCTTCATCCCTTCCTAAGCAATGTCTGCCAGAGACTTGTCCTCCTCCCTCTCCCACTGAAATACTGTTCTTGGGGTCCTGGTCTTGCCCTTTCTCTATGGTTGACCTCAGATTCTCCCATAACTGTCACAGCTGTTTACTAGTGATTTCTAAACCTTTCTCTCCTGCTTCAGGTTTTTCCTAAATACCTCCTCCTTAATTTCAACTCTGTCCTCATGCTCAATTTCTTTTTTTTTAATGTATTTATTTACATTTTAATGTAAAAATGTAATACATTTTAATGTATTTATTGATATGAAATATGACTTGATATGTGCATTAATTAAAAATTAATGTATTTTAATGTATTTATTTAATGTATTTATTAAAATGTATTTTAATGTATTTATTAATGTGTACATTTTTTAATGTATTTAATACATTTTTAATGTATCTGAACAACAGATCAGTTTGTTGTTCCACTTATTTATGTATTCATTAGTTGATTCTCTTATGTGCCCTATTGTAATTGAACCCACAACCTTGGCGTATCAGGATGATACTCTAACCAGCTGAATTAATTGCCCAGCCAGGCCCTCATCTTCAATTTCAGTGTAGGGGGAAGACTTCTTTGACAGTCCTATCCATCCCCTGTGGTAATTAGGGACCCCTCTGTGCTTCCACATTCTTGGGACTATTTGTTCCCTTAAAATCAGGAACTATCTCTTGTTGTTTCTTTATAGTCTAATCAACCCTCAAAAATATTTGCTGAAAAAAATATCAAAACTTGAATCCATTACCCCTTGAATCTGGCCTCTGCTGTGGTCATTTAAATTAATGACATCACCATCTAGCCAGAGGGTCAATGACAAATCTAGGGTCATCCTCTACTCTCTCTCTCTCATATCTCACATTTAGTTGGTCGCTAGGTCTGTAGACTTCCTTTCAACATTAATCTCAAATCCTCCTTTTCTACACCACTACACAGATTTAGTTGAGGCCCTCATCATTTCCATAGATTCTTCATTTTCTGGTCTCCATTCTCCTTTATTTTCAAATCTAGCTTCCACAGTTATCTAATACCCTAATCTAATGTGCTCAAACCTTCAGTGGTTTTCCGTTACCTTCAGTATGAAATCAGGCTGAAGTGCCTACCCAGATATTTTTGACTACCCAGATGCTTTTTGACTACCCAGATATTTGATTTAACATTTGTTATGTTTTATAGTCACTGCACATTGTTCTCCTACCAGCCCCAAAATGTACTGAATGATTTTTAAATGCCAAGAACAACTAAGCGCTTTCATATTTGCTATCTCGAGTTTCTTTCACTACAACTGTTTATTATCCTAATTTTACAGATGAGAAAACTAAAGCTTGAAGCATAGAATTAACCAACCCTCACAGCTAGTAAGGAGCAGAGCTTTGATTTGAACCAATTACTCTTCATTACATCATTTGGTCTCCCCCTCCTAATTATGGAGAGTAAGGCACCTCCTAATATCACCCTGACTCTCCACTCCCTTCATTTCCTGCCATTCCTGTGTGTAAGGACCTGGGTCTCATATCACCAAATGTTTCCCAGTTCCTCCCTTACTCCATGCTTCCCTGTGTTTGCGCTGCTGTTTAAGTGGCTGTTTTCTCCACCTTCCTCCTTCTCCCACTTGTTGAATTTCTACATACTCTTCAAGACCCTTGTCAATGGCACTACTCTTGTGAAGTTAATACCCAGAATAGCATATCTTATTATAATTATGGTTGCTGTGTTCTATGGGTTTTTATGCTTTTTGACTACCCAGATACTTGATTTAACATTTGTTATGTTTTATAGTCACTGCACATTGTTCTCCTACCATACCATAGCTGCTGCAGGGGAAGGGAGCTGCTCCGGGTCATTTTTATACTTCCATAGCCAAACAAAATGCCTGGCATCTAAAGATGTCCCCTACATGTTTATTAAATTAATGAATATCTGAATTAACTGAATTGAATGGATATCAAAACCAAGGGTTGAATTTTATCAGTGTATGTACTACATGTGAATTTAAAATACTGAGGTAAGTCATGAGTACAGTGGTTCTGCAGTATATGCGTTCATGACTATTTTTAATTGGTATGAAATATGACTTGATATGTACGTAAATAAAGCATGAAAATCTAAAATAAGAAAGAGGCTATATAAAGAGTAAATTGCTCTTTTTGATTGACTAGGACTTGCTTTATTATGTATTGATATCACATTTTTGAGGATGAGGAAGGTTGTAAATAAATTGACATTTTCTGTGTATATTTTGCTTGTTTATATGATAAAATATGATATATTATTATTGCATGTTAATCTGGAGACATTTAATTTTTTAAATTGCACTTATTGGGGTTACATTGGTTAATAAAATTATATAAATTTAAGGTGTACAATTCTATAATATATCACCTGTGTATTATACTGTGTGTTCACCACCCTAAGTCATGTCCCTTTCCATCACCATTTATCCCCCACTTTATCTTCTCCTGTCCCCCAACCCCCATTTCCCTCTGTTAATGACTATACTGTTGTCTGTCTATAAGATGTTTTTAAATTTTTTCTTAATCCTTTCACCTTTTTTACCCAGCCCCCCAACCCCCCTCCCCTCAGATAGCTACGAGTCTGTTTCTATTTTGTTTGTTAATTGATTTTGTTCTTTGGATTCCACATATAAGTGAAATATGGTATTTCTCTTTCTCTGACTGGCTTATTTCACTTAGCATAAGACATTTAGTTTTTTTTTCTTTAATCATGCTGGGATCCATTTTTTTAATATTCTGAATCAAAATATATTTCACTAAATTCTTTTGAGGAGTGAATTCAGGTGTTCTGTTTTTCTAATCAAAATATAATCTTCTCTTTCAGTTAATTGAAGGTAGAAATAAATTAAAGGTAGAGCTCGAAGCTGCAAAATCATTAGTTCAAGAAATGGTAAGGTGATTTATATTATTTCCTAATAAATTTGAATTCAGGAATTTAATTTAATCATGAAAGCTTTATAAATTGTATTTGTAACTGCTTATTGGAACTATTCATTTTCCCTTTATCAATAATCTAAGTACGTGCATAATTATAAACATTTTCAAGTGATCATTTGAGTAGTACCATAATAAATACACTTACTATGTAGAAGACTGTTACATAAGAAATAGTATTAAAATTTAAAGCAGTATAAAAAATTTTTGAATTTTATTATGGAGGGCCCAATATTTTGAAGAATTTGCTATTTTTAGTTGCAAATTGCCATAAGTGACAACAAAAAGAGCCCAGTTAGATATTTTGGCATTCTGTGTTAGTTTCATAAGAAAACACTGCCTTTTTATGTTCTTTTAAGAGAACTTTCCAGACGGCTGGTCTTTTATTTTATCAGTTGACTACCCGCCCCCGGGCCCCCACCCCCACCGCCTGCCCAGCCTATGGGGTTGTACTTTGGCTTTCAACTGATCACCACTAGTACGTCTTTGTTACAGTAAACTGGCTGTGTTTATTATAATAAAAAATAAAACACAGCTTGACTTGCGTTCTAAATGTGCTTGAAAAGAATATGATACTGTTTAGAAGAGAAAAGGTTGTTCATAGGAAATCAACACCACTTCAGATATTGAAACATTCCCCTTTTTACAGCTTGTCACACTTTGTGCCAAGTCATGACTGTTTCCCTAACTCTGTTTTGTTACTCTCGGCACCATGTGTTTTGGGTTCCTTGTCATAGAAATTAATGCAAAACAATGCTCCCCGACTACAATAAAGCCTTCTATGAAACCAACTTGTGAATGCAGGCAAAGAAAAAACGGATGGTTAGCGGATAGTCACAGAAACCATGTGTCAACAAATATGTGATTGTGAACCCTTTACTTTTCAATACCTGGCATATAAAAATCGGCTTCATGCGCGTATACTTGGTGAATCTCTTCTGCCCTGGACTTTCCAAATCCAGGAGCCGCTTCTGAAAACAACTAAATGTGCATGTTGCCATTAAAATGGAAAGTGCTGTGATAGAGTGGGAAGCAAATGTTATATTATCAATTTGTTAGCAATGTTAGACAAGAAATTAAACTAATTAATCAGGAAGTTTGAGCCTGTAGTAGGAACAGACCCCATAATTTTTTAAATCCTTTTCCTTTTTATTTGAAGGGTAAGTGGTTAACCGGTGCTATTCTGTTGCCCACAGGGGAACCAATCACCTTTTATTTTGTTGTTTAGAAGTGTGTTGAGCACTCGTATGTTGCCAAGCAGCAAGATCTTTCATCACAAACCCCACAACAGCACAAGAGCCTCAGTACCTCAGAACCAGTTTGGGGTCCATGTTTTCAGTGGAGGGAGTAAGCTTAAGATTATTTTTATGACCAAGGTTTCCATGGCATACCTTTGGGACCAGCAAGGTCACTATTTAGCACCTCTTACCCCCCACCGAGGCATTCTGTTATCCACTGGGCAGGAGGCTGGTTCTGTGGCTACTTGGGCTTCCTTTGTTTCTTGCCAGAGTGGTTTTTTTTCCCCAGAAATAAAGATTTGTGATTATGCCTAGATGGAGAAATGGAAGAAGGTAGAGTGACCAAAGTCATTTTCTGAAAATTAAAAAACTTCCTCCCTGAAGGGTTTTTGTTCCATGCTTGCCTATACAGTTTATTTTCTGGCCTATTAAAAGCCTAGTTTAAAAATTCATAGCGGTGGTAGTAAAAAGGTATTATCAATAAGTAGGTAAGCAATAAAAAATGGAGCAGTTGTATCCTTAGATTGGCTTTAAGGGAAGCATGTGAAATAACTATATTTTCCTGTGATTCCTATATCTAGTGGCATTCTTTTTTTTTTTTTTTTTTTTTTGAGATATAAGTGCTATATTACATTACATTCGTTGTAGTTGTACAAGAAAATGACTATATATGTGTATGTATAAATATATCAAAAAGTTATCATGATAAGTTTAGTTAACATCAGTTGCCACACAGTTACAAACTTCTTTTAGTGATAAGAACTAAGGTTTAGCCCTGGCCAGTTTGGCTCAGCAGTTAGAGCGTCCACCTGCAGTCCGGAGAGACCCGGGTTCGGTTCCTGCTAAGGGCATGTACCTCGGTTGCAGTTTGTCCCCGGCCTTGGTTGGTCGTGTGGGGTGGCAGCCACTCGATGTGTCCCTTTCACATCGATGTTTCCCTCTCTCTCTCTTCCTCTCTCTCCCTCCCACTCTGTCTGTACAAAAAATGGAAAAATGTCCTCGGGTGAGGATAAAAAAAAAAAAAAGAACTAAGGTTTATTCTCTTCGCAACTTTTAAATATATAATTCAGTATCATTAACTATAGTCACCACCTTGTACTATTGACCACCTTCACCATTCTACCCCTCCATTCCTTGCCTCTGGCAATCACCAATCTGCTCTTTGTATATATGAGGGGTTGTGTGTGTGTGTGTGTGTGTGTAAAGATTTTACTGTAAGTAAGATGATATGAGATTTGTCTTTCAATGTCTGACTTATTTCACCTGACATAATGCCCTTAAGTTTCCTCCATGTGGTCACGAATGGCAAGATTTCATTCTTTTTTTTTTTTAAATATGTGTATTGATTTTTTAGAGAGAGAAGGGAGAGAGATAGAAACATCGATGTGAGAGAGAAACATCAATCAGCTGCCTCCTGCACACCCCCTATTGGGGACTGAGCCCAAAACCCAGGCATGTGCCCTGAACAAGAATTGAACAGAGACCTCTGAGTCCATGGGAGGACACTCAATCCACTGAGCCACATCGGCCAGGCAAGATTTTATTCTTTTTTTTTTTTTTTTTTTTCTTGATTGATTTTAGAAAGAGAGGAAGGGAGAGGGAGAGAGATAAAAATATCGATGAGAGAGAACATCAACTGGCCAGCCACCTCCTACTTGCCCCACACTGGGGATTTGGCCCACAACCTGGGCATGTGCCGTGACTGGGAATCGAATCGGCAAAGGGGTCAACGTTCAACCCCTGAGCCATACCAGCCAGCCAGATTTCACTCTTTTTTATGATTGAGTAATATTCCATGTGTGCATGTGTGTATGTGTATGTGTGTAATATCATCTTTATTCATTTGTCTACCAATGAATACTTAAGTTACTTACATATTTGGTTAGTGTAAATAATGCCACAATGAGCATGGGGGTGCATATATCTTTAAAAGTTAGTGTATTTTGATTCCTTTGGGTAAATACCTAGAAATAGAATTGCTGGGTCATATGATAGCTCTATTTTTAATTTTTGAGGAATCTCCATCGTGTTTTCCACGTTGGCTGCACCAATTTACATCCCTACCAACAGTGCACAACAGTTCCCTTTTCTCCACATCCTTGTCAAACACTTGCTACCACTTGTCTTCTTCTCGATAGCTATTCTAACAAGTGTGAAGTGATATCTCACAGTGGTTTTCATTTGCATTTCCCTGATGATTTGTGAAGTTGAGAACCTGTTGGCCATTTGAATATCTCCTGGAAAAATGTCTCTTCAGATCATCTGTCTATTTTTTCTTTTTATTTATTTTAGAGAGAGAGGAAGTGAGAGAGAGAGAGAGACAGAGAGAGATAGAAACATCAATGAGATAAAACATTGATTGGGTGCTTCCTGCATGCTCCCCACTGGGGATCGGGCCTACAACTCAGGCATGTGTCCTGACTGGGAATCAAACCAGCAACCTCTTAGTGCATGGGTTGATGCTCAACCATTGAACCATACCAGCTGGACTTACTGCCTATTTCTAAATTGGATTATTTGGGGGTTTTTTTGCTACTGAGTTGTATATTTGGGATATTAATCCCTTATCATATATGTAATTTCCAAATATTTTCTCCTATTCCATAGATGCTTTTTCATTTTATTGATTGTCTTTTGTTTGTTTGTTTTATGCTGTGCAGAAGCTTTTTAGGTTGATATAGTCTCACTTGTTTATTTTTGCTTCTGTTGTGCTTTGAGCATCATATCCAAAATTTTATTGCCAAGACTCATGTTAAGAAGTTTTTTTCTCTATGTTTTCTTCTGGGAATTTTATGCTTTCCAGTCTTACATTTAAGTCTTTAATTCATTTCAATTTAATTTTGTGGGCGGTGGAAGATAAGGGTTTAGTTTCATTCTTTTACATGTAAATATTCAGTTTACCCAACATCAGTTTTTGAAGAGAATTTTCTCCATTGTGTATTCCTGGCTGCCTTGCCAAACATTAGCCGACCACATATACACATGTTTATTTCTGGGCTCTAGATCTTTTTCCATAGGTCTCTATGTCTGTCTTTATGCTAGTACCATAATGTTTTAATTACTGTGTTTTATAATATAATTTGACATCAAGAAGTATAATTCCCTCAGCTATGTATTTTTTTTCCTTAGGATCATTTTGGCTTTTGGGGGCCTTTTGTGGTTTTATATAAATTTTAGGACTGTTTTTTCTACTGTAAAAACTGTCATTGTAATCTTGATAGAGGTTGAGTTGCATCTGTAGATAGTTTTGAGTAGTATGGATTTTAACAATATTAATTCTTCCAATTCGTCAACACAGGATAGCTTTCCATTTATTTGTGTCGTCTTCTGTTTCTTTCATCAATGTCTTGTAGTTTTCAGTGTAGAGATTATTCATCTCCTCAGTAAAATTGATTCCTAAATATTTTATTGTTTTGGGTGCTATTTTATATGGGATCATTTTCTTTATTCTTTTCAGATAATGAATTGTTAGTGTATAGAAACACCCCTGATTTTTATATGTAGAATTTATATCCTGTTTTTTCATTTATCTTGAAACTGACAAAAAAAAAAGAGTCCTCATCAGAAAAATACCATAATTGATCTCTTACCCTTAACTAATTTTTCATCTCTGTCATCCTAGTGAACCCTATTTCTAGGAACAATTGAGACTTGAGATAAAGGGGAGTTATCTTGAGATAAAGGTGCTCTAGCTCCTCATTCTGGGGCACAGCACTGA